ACGGAATATACCGTCAGTGATGCACACAAGGACATACGGACACACACATGGACACACCTGCCTACGGACAGATCCTGACACAGCAAAAATCGGAAGCCCCGCCTTGTGGGCGGGATCCAGGGGGATTTTTCAGCATAAAGGAACGGATCCTGAACATTGGAAACCAGTGCGACGGGAGGGTCCACTCAGAAGCTCGACCGGGAGGGTCGACTCAGGAACGAGTGCGACGGGAGGGTCCACTCAGAAGCTCGACCGGGAGGGTCGACTCAGGAACGAGTGCGACGGGAGGGTCCACTCAGAAGCTCGACCGGGAGGGTCGACTCAGGAACGAGTGCGACCAGAGCGGGTCCACTCAGGAGTGCGACCAGAGAGTCGACTCAGGAGCGAGGGCGACCAGCGGGTCGACCCAGGAGCGAGCTCGACCGGGAGGGTCGACTCAGGAGCGAGCTGCGACCAGCGGGTCGGCTCGACTCATCTTCAGCTCGTCAATCTCTGCTGCCGCCGGAGATCTCCGCTGCCGCCGGTGGTGAGCGTCGCGACTTGGCGACGATCCAGCGCTGCACGCTACGAGCGAGTTGTGGGCGCCACCTACCGACCGGGTTCCGAACTGCGACAGCGTATCAACAGCCATCCGACAGGGGAGCGATGGATACGTATGACGCGCACCGCCCCCTCACCACACGACCACCAGGCGTCTGTTTGACCTAAAGAATCGACTCCGAACACTGACTATTCAAGACAACTCTTACCACTCAAACACACTCGAACCCATAAGCCATCCGTGGCTGGAAAGCATCACAACGAGACCGAGTGGTGGCCATCCGTCGTTTATAAGAGTATTCTTAATTTTATCTTTAATATTTAGTGGGCTGTACTCTTAATCGCATAAATTCCCAACAGATCCATCAATACGAACTGATTCTTGGCACCTCCTTCCGCCGAGCCACGCTCACGTGGGGAGTGGTGGCCCACCGGATCCTTATCAGGTGATCTGGTCCCCAATTAGTAAACTTGGTATAAGATAACGATCTTCGGAAAAGGAGCACCGTCGCAGGCCCTTACTCCGAGCCGTTCTGAGATAACCTGCCGATGTATCTGTTGAGATTGGTGCCTTTAAGAATAATAACTGTTTTGATTGTGTTTTTTTTTATCGCCGTATAATCTTTCAAGTATCTTTCAGTCATAATCGCCGCACGTACTCGCATCCTCTACAGAATATTCAACTGTTCCGTGACCCAAGGTGTTAACAACGTGATAAGGGTTGCGTATGATCAATAAGGAGTGCGGTACTGCGTGAACAATATTGAGTATAATCATTCATTAACGTTAAGGTTTTCTTAGCATAGTATTTGCATGTTTTAACGACTCTCTCTCTCACTAACAACCATCGCGTTATGCGGGATCCATGTGCAGTTGTCAAAGTGAAATCAGACAATCGTTGATGATACTGTATTGATGCCGTATTGACGTTCCGGGATTGAGAGTTCGCATACTATATCATAGTTAAGGTTGAATTAGTAATAAATTGATCAATACAGAAGTGGTTGTGTGATTCTTTCCTGAAATCTATGCATAAGATCTGCTTCTGCGTTGAGATTTGAACTTGGTGACCTTAATAAACACACTAATACATACTCAGTAAATGTTAAAGCGATAACGGGGTGAACCGGGGTCTGGTTATCATAACGACTTGCGTTATCATAATTACACCCACTCGCATAATAATACGATTACCTCTCGAATTGGCATAATTAAAATGTGCGTAATTGCATAATTAACATATTTCCGGATAATTACACATTTGGCCAAATTTCATTAATTATTATTATTTCCACTGAATATTCATAACCCACACGTACAACATAATAATTCACCCACGCACGCATACAACATAACAAATTTTCATAACCAACATATACAACAGCACACACGTAGCCCCGCCCACTGTGTTTGTTTCCCATAGACTGCCATACATAACGGCCCTCTCTCTAACACCCCTACACTTGTATATAGTGTAAAGTTGTACAGGTTGGTTATGGTATTTATGGTTGCTTTCTTGTTCTCTTTTCTTTTCCTGTTGAGGCTCGCATATTTTTTTCTCTCTCTCTCCCTTTCGTTAATTTAAACTTTCTAATTATTGACAGCCGGGACGGCTAGAGGCTACGTAGAGGGGGGTGATGTAGTGACATAAGAAGGGAGGGGCTGCTGGGGGCTCTGGGATCCCAGGCGAGTCCAGACGCTTAAGCCTCTGGGCGCCAGGCGCTGGGTTCCAAGGGGGTCCAGACGCTTAAGCCTCTGGGCGCCAGGCGTTGAGTTCCCAGCGGGACCAGACGCTTAATCCCCTTGGCGCCGCCAAAGGGGGGGGCTGTGTGTGCTCTGTGGGATATCTGGGGGCGCACACGGCCCCACCCCTCGTTGGACCAGGCATAAAAGGAGAGCTCCCTGGACGATCGGGGCCCAGTTGTAACTCAAGACCCACGACCAGCCATCTGAAGACCCTGGGATACTGTGAGAGCCAGCGCTGGGACTCTGGAACTCCCGACTCTACGACCTTGTGAGGGCGAGTTCCGGAGCGTAGCCAGAGTAGAGTATCTAGGTTGTGTAGCTAGGCTGTGTACCTAGGCTGTAACAGAGTATCAGGACTGACTGTTGGAGAGTTTGAGGACTGTTGGAGTGTTGTATTGTAATAAAGAAGTTACCTCTACAAGTGTCTCCAGAACCCGTTACACAAGCGTAGAGAAGGGAGGGAATGACTGTGGCCGAGAAGACCTGAAGCTTCGTGCGGAGCGACAGACCAGGTAGCTTCCACACAGCGTTACGCAACCGATAAAAAGATATTGCCGCTCGACTGATTCGGAGTGAGACCTCTGCTGTTAAACTGGAGCCGGTCATAAGCACACTGCCCAAGTATGGGAAACTCCCCACTCTCTCCACAACTGCTCTATCACCGATTGGGAGTTGTGTGGGTGGAGTGTCCCATGGTGCAAAATACCCAGGCAGGTGCTTAGTTTTGGTAGGGCTGATGGTAAGGCCCTACCTCTTAGTGGCACACTCCAGTCTCAGCAGCAGCGTCTCCAACTCCTCCTCTGAATGAGCAGCTATTACCAAATCATTGGCATACATAACGTTGTTGACCAATAGGGAGCCATCCCTTGATCGCACCCCGGCATCGATCAGCCTCCCATTATGTCTGTACCAAATGGAAATTCCCCCGGTACAGCTATTGAAGTCTTCACAAACCACGTGGTCAAAATAGATGTTAAATAATGTGGGAGCCAGAGGACATCCCTGTCGCACCCCAAGGTATACAGGGAATGGCTCTGACTCCCGGCCGCGTAGTTTTACCCGGGTCCTCTCACCATCATGAAGGTCCTTAATGATTGTGAGCAGAGGGTCAGGGATTCCGAAAGCACGAATAACAACCCAGAGCCTAGGCCTACTGATGGTATCATAGGCCTTGACCAGGTCAATAAAGCAGAGATGTATGTCTTGTTGGAATTCCCTACACCTCTGCTGTAGCAGACGGACAGAAAATATGGCATCTGTGCAGGACCGCCCTTTCCTGAAACCGCATTGGGGCTCTGCAAGCCTCTCCTCAGTGTGACTAGCAAGGCGATGCTAAATAATCCTTGCCAGGACCTTTCCCGGCAATCTTCGAAGAATGTAATCAACCAGGTGGGGTGTTGACTGTTTTGTTGGCCGACTCTCTGTGTTGTATTGCATTATATTTCCAAGTTTACTATGTTTGTTTTCTCATTAATTTGTACCTGATGATGGTTGCTTGTGTTGCAATCGAAACGTCGTATTCTATTATTATTTGATTTAATTTCTTTCTACGTGACTTTACCGAAAAAACCAACGAGTAATACTGAAGTCCTTCCTAGAGATGGAATGACTGCTGTGTCACCATTGCCCAAATTTGCTGGGCTGGACACATACTCAGAATGGGAGAAAATGGACTCCCAAAACAATTTCTCTATTGTCAATCGCATCAGAGAAAAAGAAGTAGAGGAGGCCAGCGCTTATCCTTTAAGGACGTACTTCACACAAATTTGAGAAGATGTGGGATTTATGTAGATTCATAGGGAAATGTCGCGAAAAACACAGCAATGGCGCATAGCCTTGGCTGAAGCTACTCAGTTGCTTGGGAAACAGCTTCATGAAGACACGGAGAAACAACAAGCCAGGAGACATGGGTTAGAAGTGGTTACGGTGTCGACCAGTGCATGTGAATCTCAGGAGTTACCCTCAGCCCACTGTGCATATGATCTATGCGGAAAGGTGTGTCCTTCAAACGCTGGGCTTGCTAGTTACAAGCGAACTCACAGGAATTAAACACAACAACCATGTAAGATGATGAAGGATTACTGACTTCCGATGCAAGAGAGGTCATCGTCCTTGGGAATAGACCACAAAAATAAGTGTATCGTAGTGTAGTACATAGTTGTGTAGTGTATCGTAGTGTTTAGTAGTGCAGTGTAGGGTAGTGCAATGTATCGTAGTTTAGTGTATAGTAGTGTAGGATATAGGACAGTATATGGTCTAATATATAGTAGTATATAGTGTAGTATATATTGTAGTGTATAGAGTAGAGTGTATAGTGTCGTATATAGTATAGTATATAGTAGTGTTGTGTAAAGTAGTGTAGTGTATGGTAGTGGAGTGTATAGTGTAGTGTATTGTAGTTTTGTTTGTATTATGTTGAACTTCTATGGCACTGTATGTAGCCAACCGTGCTAATCAGAGGTGCAGGAGAATGACAACAAACTAAACACAGCAGCAGCACGCAGTGTGTGTGTCAGTCACATTCTGACCGGAATGTAACACAGAACCACTCTATCGAATTTTACCTCCATGTCTCACTGTCTCCCCATATCCCCGTGTCTCTCTGTCTCCGTGTCTTAATGTTCCTGTATCCCCGTGTCTTCGTGTGTCCGTGTGTCCGTGTATCTGTGTGTCCGTGTCCATGTCCCCGTGTCTCCTTGTCTCTGTGTGTCCAGGAGACAACTCATGAAGACATGATATCTGTAGAAGATGGAATTTGGAGCGATCGCGTGAAGGTGGGTTTCACAATGGCCGTGTCACTGGGGTTCACAATGGCTAGGTCGCTGGGTGGGGTTCACCATGGCCGTGTCGGTGGGGTTAACAATGGCCATGTCGCTGGGTTTACAATGGTCGTGTTGGTGGGGTTCACATTGGGTGCATCGGTGGGGTTCACAATGGCCATGTCACTGGGTTCACAATGGTCGTGTTGGTGGGGTTCACAATGGCCGTGTCGGTGGGGTTCACAATGGCCAGGTCGCTGGGTGGGGTTCACCATGGCCGTGTCGGTGGGGTTAACAATGGCCATGTCGCTGGGTTCACAATGGTCGTGTCGGTGGGGTTCACATTGGGTGCATCGGTGGGGTTCACAATGGCCATGTCGCTGGGTTCACAATGGCCGTGTCGGTGGGGTTCACAATGACCGTATCGCTCGGAAAGGTTGAAAATGGCGGTGTTGCTAGGTTCACAATAGCCATGTTTGTGAGGTTCACAATGGCCGTGTTGGTGGGGTTCACAATGGCCATGTCGCTGGGTTCACAATGGCTGTGTCGGTGGGGTTCACAATGACCGTATCGCTCGGAGAGGTTCAAAATGGCGGTGTTGCTAGGTTCGCAATGGCCATGTTTGTGAGGTTCACAATGGCCGTGTTGGTGGGGTTCACAATGGCCATGTCTCTTGGTTCACAATGACCGTGTCTCTTTCTCAGGCTGGTTTCCATGATGATCTGGCTACCCACAATGCAACACGTCTCTACCCGCGCCTCCTGCGATGTGAGTGGTTGCCGTGGTTATGCTGTGTGTGCTTGGTTGCCATGGTAATGCTGTGTGTGTGGTTGCTATTTTGACGCTGTGTATGTGTGGTTGCTATGGTGACGATGTGTATGTGTGCTTGCTTTGGTGAAACTGTGTGGTTGCCTTGGTAACGCTGTGTGTGTGTGTGTCAGCGAGCCGACTGTCCGAGTGCGACGCGTGGGACGGCAAGCTCCGAGTGTCAACACACGACTGGAAAAAGGTGACGCACACAGCACAGACAGAGTTCCCCCAGGTGTTGTGAGTAGCAAGTAGCACACACAGACACACACACTCACCCACCCACTCACCCATCCACCCACCCCCATGCCCCCCATGTCCCGCAGGATGTCCGAGTGGGACCGGACTACCAAGCCAAGGTCTCAACACTGCTGATGCCGTTGCCGTCCGCAAACAGCGAGCACTGTCTCAGCGCCATCCCAGCGGGAGCGGACCTCTGCTGGGAGCCATCTCGTCTGTCTGAGAGACAAGTGGAGGACTTCCTACTGAAGGCATCTGGCCTATCTGAGACGGCATCTCCCCGCAGACAGATCCGGGACAATGAGAGTGTGAGACAAACATGCTCAACTCACCCACATATTCGATTTTCTTGCTCTAAACCATTGTCTCTCCTCCGGCCACTGTGGTCCGGAATTCCACGCTGGTCCCCTCGTTTGTCCTCCGCAGTCCTCTCTCTACCCCGACCCTCCCCCCCTCTCTCTATTTAAGGCCTCGGCAAAGAGTCGTTGTCCTTCTGTTTGTCTTGGTGTGTGTCTCTGTGTGTGTCTCTCTCTGCATGTGTGTCTGCCTATGTTGTTGGCGTGTCTGTGTTTTATCTTTGTGTATGTCTCTCTCTGCATGTTGTTTCCGTGTCTGTGTTTCCTTGGTGTGTGTCACGCTCGGTGTGTCTTTGTGTATGTCTCTCTCTGCATATGTGTCTGCCTGTGTTGTTTCCGTGTCTGTGTTTTATCATTCATTCTTACCTGATGATGGTTGCTTGTGTTTCAACTGAAACGTCGTATTCTATTATTATTTTATTTTCTACGTGACTTTATCGAAAGAACCAAAGAGTAATTCCTGCAGTCACGAAAGCTTCGAATCTAGTTTGAACCTACAAATAAACTCTAACTGACTCACCCACTCACTCGTCCACCCACTCACCCATGCATTCACCCACTCACACACCCACTAACCCACTTACCCACCCACTAAGGAACTCTCCCCCCATCTCTCTCCCCATCTCTCTCCCCATTTCTCTCCCCAATTCTCTCCCTCCCAGTTCCTCTCCGCTCTCGCCCACTGTCAGTACAACACAGCCACCGCCCTCCTCCTCATCTCCTCCTCATCCACCGCCATCGTCCCAGCATGTGGCCACACGACGGGCTGCTCATCGCCGTGGTCCCAGCTGGAGTGCGCCCAGTTTGAGCGGGCTCTCTTCCGCATAGGCAAGGTCTTCCACGCCATGGGCCGACCCTCTACTTCTGGCACCACCACTGCTGGCACAACCACTGCGGTTGGCGGCTGTTTGGTTGGTGGTGGTGTTGGCAGCTGTGCGGTCCCCACGCGATCGCCATCCGAGTGCGTTGCCTTCTACTACCTCTGGAAGAAGAGCGAGCGCTGTGACGCCTTCCTGACGCTTCGCAGGTACTTGCCTACGTGTATAGCATATAGTAGTGTATAGTCGTGTATAGTGTAGTGTACAGTATGCTAGTGTACTGTATAGTGGATAGGAATGTATAGTGTCGTGTATAATGTCTCATAGTGTATAGTGTAGTTTATAGTAGTGCAGGGTATGGTATAGTGTAGAGTAGTGTAGTGTAGTTTATAGTAGTGTAGGTACAGTGAGGGAAAAAAGTATTTGATCCCCTGCTGATTTTGTATGTTTGCCCACTGACAAAGAAATGATCAGTCTATAATTTTAATGGTAGGTTTATTTGAACAGTGAGAGACAAAATAACAACAAAAAATCCAGAAAAACGCATGTCAAAAATGTTATAAATTAATTTGCATTTTAATGAGGGAAATAAGTATTTCACCCCCTCTCAATCATAAAGATTTCTGGCTCCCAGATGTCTTTTATACAGGTAATGAGCTGAGATTAGGAGCACACTCTTAAAGGGAGTGCTCCTAATATCAGCTTGTTACCTGTATAAAAGACACCTGTTCACAGAAGCAATCAATCAATCAGATTCCAAACTCTCCACCATGGCCAAGATCAAAGAGCTCTCCAAGGATATCCGGGACAAGATTGTAGACCTACACAAGGCTGGAATGGGCTACAAGATCATCGCCAAGCAGTTTGGTGAGAAGGTGACAACAGTTGGTGCGATTATTAGCAAATGGAAGAAACACAAAAGAACTGTCAATCTCCCTCGGCCTGGGGCTCCATGCAAGATCTCACCTCGTGGAGTTGCAATGATCATGAGAACGGTGAGGAATCAGCCCAGAACTACACAGGAGGATCTTGTCAATGATCTGAAGGCAGCTGGGACCATAGTCACCAAGAAAACAGTTGGTAACACACTACGCCGTGAAGGACTGGAATCCTGCAGCACCCGCAAGGTCCCCCTGCTCAAGAAAGCACATATACATGCCCGTCTGAAGTTTGCCAATGAACATCTGAATGATTCAGAGGACAACTGGGTGAAAGTGTTGTGGTCAGATGAGACAAAAATGGAGCTCTTTGGCATCAACTCAACTCGCCGTGTTTGGAGGAGGAAGAATGCTGCCTATGACCCCAAGAACACCATCCCCACCGTCAAACATGGAGGTGGAAACATTATGCTTTGGGGGTGTTTTTCTGCTAAGGGGACAGGACAACTTCACCACATCAAAGGGACGATGGACGGGGCCATGTACCGTTAAATCTTGGGTGAGAACCTCCTTCCCTCAGCCAGGGCATTGAAAATGGGTCGTGGATGGGTATTCCAGCATGACAATGACCCAAAACACACGGCCAAGGCAACAAAGGAGTGGCTCAAGAAGAAGCACATTAAGGTCCTGGAGTGGCCTAGCCAGTCTCCAGACCTTAATCCCATAGCAAATCTGTGGAGGGAGCTGAAGGTTCGAGTTGCCAAACGTCAGCCTCGAAACCTTAATGACTTGGAGAAGATCTGCAAAGAGGAGTGGGACAAAATCTCTCCTGAGATGTGTGCAAACCTGGTGGCCAACTACAAGAAACGTCTGACCTCTGTGATTTCCAACAAGGGTTTTGCCACCAAGTACTAAGTCATGTTTTGCAGAGGGGTCAAATACTTATTTCCCTCAGTAAATTGCAAATCAATTTATAACATTTTTGACATGCGTTTTTCTGGATTTTGTTATTGTTATTCTGTCTCTCACTGTTCAAATAACCCTACCATTAAAATTATAGACTGATCATTTCTTTGTCAGTGGGCAAACGTACAAAATCAGCAGGGGATCAAATCATTTTTTCCCTCACTGTATAGTGTAGTGGATAGTCGTTTCGTGTATAATGTATTGTAATGTATAGTATTGTGGTGTATAGAAGAAGATCGAGTGCTGTGACGCCTTCTTGATATTGCGCAGGGCGCGCCTGGGCAAGCTTCGGAGGTACAACGCAGTGGGGGGGGGGACGTCCATGGGGGGGACAGCAGCAGTGGCTTCGTCTGCGTCTTCATCGGCTTTATCAGTAGGGATGTTGGGGGAGACCGCAGCAGCGTCAGCTTTGTTGTCTTCATCGCACGGCCAGCAGGCCAACAAGCTGCGGAGGTACAACACAGCGGGGGGGACATCCACGGATGGGAGAGCAGCAGATTCAGCTTTGTCGTTGCCGCACATCCACCAGGCCACCAAGCTGCGGAAGTACAACGTGACAGGGACGTCGACAGCTTCAGTAGGGACGTCCGTGGGGACGGCAGCAGCTTCGTCTTTGTCGTTACCGCATAGCGAGCAGGTGGCCACCAAACTGCGTAGGCACAACACAGGGGGGACGTCCGTGGGGACTGCAGCAGCTTCAGCTTTGTTATCATCTTCTCACGGCCAGCAGGCTCCACCAGGGGCCTTCCATTCGTCGACGTCATTATCCATGACGTCGTCGTCGTACTACCATCCGGCTGCCACCGATCTCATGGAGAGGATTCTGGACGAGATGTCGGCCAATGCCATGGCCACCACCACCACTGGTAGTGGCAGCAGCACTGTTGCCGCTGCCACTACTGATTTTGACGATGATGACGATGATGACGATGATGATGGTGATGATGATGATGTTCGTGATGGTGGTGGTGATGATGAGCATGATGATGGTGATGATGTTGGTAGTGGTGATGGTAGTGGTGGTGATGATGATGATCATTGTGGAGGTAGTGGTGCTGGTGGTGGTGGTGATGGTGCTGGTGGTAATGGTGCAGGTGCTGGTGGAGATTGTGGTGATAGCGATGTTAGTGTTGACGGTGCTGGTGGTGGTGGTGTGAAAATCGCCACTGCTGCCACCGATGTTTGTAACGATTATGATGTTAAGGATGGTGGTACTGGTGGTAGTGGAGATATTGATAGTGCTGGAGGAGATTGTGGTGATGGTTGTGTAAAAATTGCCACCACTGCAACCAATGTTAAAAACGATGTTTATAAGACTGATGGTGGTGGTTATGTAAATGATGATGTAAAACTAGCTACTACTTCCACCAGTATTGAACACGATTGTGATGATTACGTGGGTGGTGGTGATGGTGCTGTTGATGTGGATGGTGGTGTTGGTAGTGTTGGTAGTGTTGGTAATGGTGGTGATGATGCTGTTGATGTTGATGCACATGTTGGTGATGATGATGTGAAAATTGCTACAGCTGACATCAATGTTGAAGGTTATGATGATTGTGATGGTGATCATGTTGATGATAGTGATGATGATATGGATGGTGGTGGTGGTGGTGATGGTCGTGACGGTACTGGTGATTATGGTAATGATATGGATGGTGGTGGTGACAATTGCAGTAATAGTGATGGTGCTGTTGATGATAATGATAATGGTGTTTCTGGTGGTTATATTGGCGATGGTAATGATAACGATGGTAGTATTGATGTGAGATTTGCAGCTGATGGTGGTGGTGATGATAATTGCGTATGTGGTGGTGGTGTTGGTGGTGGTAATATTAGCAGTGGTAGTGATGGTGGTGATGTAATTGGTGCGGCACTGAGAGGATGAGTGGTAGACGCAGGTTACTGATGAAATGGAGTCTGCCTCAGTAGCTCGTGATCAATAATCTCTCTTTAATTCTATCAAAAAAGTAACATGTAGCAGCACACCTATCCTTTAGGGAAAGAACAACGATCCTATCTCTGACTTCTAGGAACATGTTTAGAGGTTTTTCAGAGAATATCTATAATGTCTTGGGGGAGGGGAAATCCCCCAGCCCCGATAACATCATGGGGCAAGGTGGGGGGACGACCCTGCTTGGGCTGCGGTGCCTCAAATATTGGAAGAAGTAGCCACCCCTTGTGAGTTTTTGAATGATGTGCCATCTATTGAGGAAGTACGAAGAGTGATCCAGAGTCTGCGACTAGCAAAAACGATGGGGAGAGATGATCTCCCAAGAAAACTTCTGACGGTAGGTAGTGTTTTTGTGCAGACTGGCAAAAGGTCTTGACAAGAATTATTTAACATCACCTTGCCAGGCATATTGAGGAGAGGCTTGCGGAGCCCCAATGTGGTTTCAGGCCGGGGTGGTCCTGCACAGACGCCAAATTATCTGTCCGTCTGCTACAGCAGAGGCATAGGGAATTCCAACAGGACCTACAGCTCTGCTTTATTGACCTGGTCAAGGCCTATGATACCTTAATTTTTAAAAATCCAGATTAAAATGTATTTCGTTTACAACTGCTATATGTATCTTGATTCTTTCAATCTTGCAAGGCATCCTTCCAATCCTGCGGAACCCATCCTGTAGTCCAGACAGTTGATGTCATGTAGGGCAGTCTGCATATATGTGCCACCTTCCTTCAGTAGTTGGATTGGGAGATCATCTCTGCCTATCGCTTTTCCTGGTCTCAGACACTGGAACGCCATTCAGGTGTGACTAAGTCTGACAATATTTTAGGCACTATAGCCCCAGCAGGGTCGTCCTCACCTTGCCTCATGATGTCTGGGCTGAAACAATTCCCCTTCCCCAATACCTCGTAGAAATATTATGCAAACCTGAATACCAGTTCCTGGAGTTCAGAGATTGGATCACTGTTTTTTTCTTAATGAATGGCGATAGGTGAGGCTCTGCAAGTTACTTTTTTGTGATTGTGGGCTACTGAGGCAGATTCCATCTCCTTAGCAACCCACAACTCATCCTTGCAGCGCTCCATGGCTCTCCGAACCTCTGAGTGAAGGCTGCGGTAAGCCGTTTTTTGTGCACATGTACCCATACGAGTGTACATGCACAGCAATGCACATGTACACACCAGTTTTACATCCAGCACTGTGCATACACACAAGTGTACTTACACGTGGACATCCACACGTACATACACACGAGTGTGCATGCACATCAGTTTTAACGTTAATATTTTAGCAGATTAATAAAAACAGTTTTTTTTTAAGTTGACTGATGTCCGTTTTTTGTACATTGCTTATAGCAAACACGTGTACACACACAAGGGTACACAAACACAAATGTATATACACAGCAGTGTTCCGTTATAAACCACGCTTACAAGCTATATCATTCAGATTATTAAAAGTTTGACGGCAATTATAATAATTTTGGTGGATCAAATATAACAATTCACTTTCGTTGTCTAGATGCACGCGCATTGACACCGGTGTCCTTAAATATATTTATTTACTTATTTATCAAACGTCAACACGCTATTAAACATGCACCTCTTAGACAAAGTCAAACTCGAGATCACCAGCGCAATGCTTCAGACTATTTCGGTGGTAAGGCCTATAAACTGGCAGCAGTTTACAGGACATTACAGGGTGGAAATATGGAACCTAATAAGATGCACGTAATTATGTCTTTATTCAAAAGGAAGCGTACAATTTTGCAGTGGGATGCACATACATAGGCAGGCTTAAGCACAGTGGCCACATGATGGTTAGTGTTGTGTCTATGCCCTGTTTTCCGTTATTAATATTAAGAATAATTAAGAAAAAAAATATTTTTTTATTATATTTATATATTTTTCTAAATTAAATAATGAAAACAACCCACTACAAGCACACCATGAATCTGTGAAACGGCCATTAAACTGGTAAGAAGTCGGTCACAGAGAGGTCAGAGACATCCAGATGGACAAAGATCGATGGCCTGACCTTCCAAGACATCTTGAGATGCACGGAGGGGGTGCAGAGCAGAGTAAATGATAACGGTTGCCACTCGCGTTTTCTTAACGTTTTCCTTACCGAAAAGTAGAAACTTAACAAAGAGAATTAACCAACAAACAATACGTTTTTTTTATTATTAGTAATTCTCTTATATTACTTGTATTCACCGCATACATATTATTTAGAATTATATGTTTCCTATCTACATGACCTTCCTAAAAACTAAAGAGTACGAATTCCAACAGTTAAGGAAGCGTAAGTGGAAACTTAGTTGCACTTAACCTCAGGACATTAAAATATAACTCAAGAATAAATGTAACACACAGGACCACATAAATGTATTGCAAAAATCTCCTCAGCCACCTTTGTCTCCAACGGTCCGGCAAGCAAGAAGGGAGCAAAAAGGTCACAGGGGGGAGTCGGTGCCTGACATTCGAAAACATCTGTATTTTTTCTGTTTGTTTTCTCTCGCAAGAGACGCGGAGAGAGGAGAGGGTGCTCGCGTTTTGGAGTTAAGCACGGCCGTCTTTGTCTCCCCGCAGCACAAACAGATGGCCCATGAATGCTTGGAGGGTTAGGAAAGGTCGCGAGGAGGGGTCGCGGGGGTGTCTGCTTCTTCTCGCTCTGTTTTTGTTTTGTTGCCCGCTCGCAAGGAATGCGCAGAGAGGGGAGTCACGTTTTAAGTTAGGCACAGGCACACAGCGAACAAGCAGTCTGGGTTGAGTCGTGCTCAGTCTCACAACTCGGCTTGCGACGCGGTGTTGCGACGGGGCTCGCAAGAGAGCGGAGGCGCGTCGTGCCTTGAGGAGAGATGGGACGACGAGGGGTCGTTATGGTGACAGTCTGAGGGCAGTCTGTCCGAGTCGCGCTCAGTCTCGCAACTCGGCTTGCGACACGGTGTTGCGACAGGGCTCGCAAGAGAGCGGAGGCGCGTCGTGCCTCGAGAGATGGGACGATGAGGGATCGTTATGGTGACAGTCTGAGGGCAGTCTGGTCGAGTCGTGCTCAGTCTCGCAACTCGGCTTGCGACGCAGCGTTGTGACAGGGCTCGCAAGAGAGCTGGGGCAAATCGTGCCTCGAGGAGAGATGGGACGACGAGACATCGTTAAGGTGACAGCCTGAATGAGCAGTCTGTCCGAGTCGCGCTCAGTGTTGCGACGGGGCTCGCAAGAGAGCGGGGGCAGATCGTGCCTCGAGGAGAGATGGAACGAGGAGGGGTCGTTCGAGTCACAGAAGTCTGAGTTCAACCTGGGTCGGGGCTGGGTTTCAGCCGTGCTCCGGCTGGCGGAGCGTCGTGAGGAAACGAAACACCGATGCCGATAGCCGGTGTCGCTTCTCGCAGAACGAAGTTAAGTGCGAGTGAACCTGGCAGCTGCACGAACAAGGGAAGCACGGAGCAGAGAGAGTGACGAGTGACGACAAGCAATCAACCTGTAAAAGGGTGGAGATCGCCAAGCGTCGACCAAGCGTGCAAAGCAGAGAGCGCGAAGCAGTGGAGAAAGCCTGGTCAAACGGCTGTGAGGAAGAGGACAGCGCCATCGAATGCGCCGTGTGTTTGAGGGCACACCTACCAACGACCAGAGTAAACAGACAAGACGTCCAGAGCGACTGCGAGCATCGTGCCGACTCAACAATCAATCGAGCAGTGGAGAAGCCGGGGGCTGCCACCATGAGAGAGAAAGTGCCATCGAATGCGCAGTGTGTTTGATACTCAGACCGACCACCACCCAGTGAGCACAGCCGCGTCGTCCAGAGCCACAAGCCAACACAGCCTGAAGCAAGGGCGAGTGTCCGTGTGAAGTTGGCAACGATCAAGGAGAGAGCGCAAGAGCAGCACGACTCGGACGTCACCGGGCGTCACCGAGCGTCGTGCCAACTCGTCATCCAGCAGTGGAGAGAGAGAGAGCGCAAGAGCAGCACGACTCGGACGTCACTGGGCATCACCGAGCGTCGTGCCAACTCGTCGTCCAGCAGTGGAGAGAGAGAGAGCGCACAAGCAGAGGCGTCCGAGCGAGGGAGCAGCAGGGGCTCGCTGCGGCCACGCCCAACCCAGAGAGGAACTTCGCTGGCGGCGGGTTGTATCCTCCCACACCACGCAAGCTAACCCCACAACTCCCGGCTCTAAGAAATTTAATTAATATTACGAGGGGACAACGCACACACAGCACGCACACGAATAAGACTTTCAAAAAGTGATCTTTGCGTTTCAAAAAGGGTTGCCATTTCAAGGTGGTGCGTTCAATATCAACTGATCGTGCAAAGCAGTTGCTGCCGTCGAGTTACATGAATAAGAAATGTTTTAGTCATTCATTTTCGTTAATTGCATAATCTTGCCCATGAATTTATTGACGTATACTCGCTTTCGCATAAGAGAGTGTCATGTGCTTGTTTAGAATTAAAATTGCTTAACACCAACTGTTCGAGTGCTTCTTTCCAAGTCCATGCAAAACTATCTTATTCTTGATAACTGTATCCTGTGATGAGATCTGAAACTGGAGACCTAAAATAACATAAACACACTAAGATAATCGGTAAACATTTAATCGATGATGATTGTTTTATCCTGATTGATATAACCCTGGATAAACGAAGCTAAGCCTAATTATCACAACTGCTCACATTAACATAATCGCAAGCATCCGCATACATTACTACGATTATCTCCGCGATCATCGTAATTATGCATATAATTACACACATTATCATAATTTATGCATGCTAATACACACATTAACATAATTGATGCGATTTGCGCATTTTTCGGAAAATTATTAATTTTTATTATTTTATCAAAATTTCATAATCCAACACATACAACATTAGGATTAGGTTGGCATGAGGTTAGGATTATATTAGGGGTAGTTTAGGGTTAGGTGAGGTTGGGTTGAGGTTTGTTTAGGTTACGGTTAAGATTAGGTTCAGGTTAGGGTTTGGGTTAAGTTAGGGTTAGGTTAGGTGAGGGTTAGTTTAGGGTTTGAGTTAGGTGTCGGATAGTGCTACGTTAGGGTTAAGATTAGGTTAAGGTTAGAATAGGGTTAGACTAGGGTTAAGTTAGGGTTAGGTTTATGGTTAGGTTAGGGTTGGGTTAGGGTTAGTGATAGGTTAGCGTTATGTTAGGGTTCGGGTTAGGTTAGGGTAAGGTTAGAGTTTTGTTGAGTAGGTTTAGGTTCGGATTAGGTTAGGGTTAGTTTAGGGTTAGGTTAGAGAGGTTAGGTTAGGGTTAGGTTAGGGTATGGTTAGAGTTAATTTATGGAACACTTATGGTAAGGTTAGGTTAGGGTTAGGTTATGGTTGGATTAGGGTTAGGTTAGGGTTATTGGTTAGGGTTTGGGTTAGAGGGTTAGAGTTAGGTTCGGGGTGAGTGTGTAATAAATCACTTAGACGACGATCTGACTTGTGTCTTATTTATTTATTTAACGGCTGGACAGCTTCACGTTCCCTCCAAGTAGATCACTGCACATTCTTCGTTGCGTGGCGTGAGTTGATGTCCCGCTCACGCTCCCCGCTCCTGTGCTCCGCTGGCTCATGGCGTGCAAAGAAACAGCCTCCGGACCGCGAAGTGGCCGCTGGCGTTCCGGAGGTGCGAGATCTGGTCCCGCTTCGAGACTTCCCACACTGACCCCGAACCTCTTCCTGCTTTCCCTTATAACCCCTCTACGTGGAGCCAAGCCCCGCCTTTAGCCACGCCCCTTCTAGAACCTTCCCGATGGTTCCCTGTGAGCACACTTGAGCTCCGCCCTTGAACTCTGGCCCAGACACCCCCACTCCACCTGATTGGCTAATGGCTAATACAGCGGAGCCCATCCAGCCGATCGGCGACCGGCGGTGTACTCTATTATTACATCACCCCCCCCCCCCCTGGTGTAAAAGACTAGCCGTCCCGGCTAGTAATGAGGTACGAGCCAATGAAAAAAGACACCGCAAATCGAGAACAGAACAACAATAATAAAATGCACAATGACGCAACAAGCATAATGGTAAGCAGCTGATAACACTTCAACGGAATGGAAGGGATTTTGAACGAGTGCGCGATGCCGGCCTATCTCCCGCATCGGCCCGAGGCCGCGCTGGCTGCAATACAGCAGGAGGCAGAAGCGCAGAGGAATCGGCGTCCCTCGCCGCGGGTGAAAGTCCGGCCGGTACAGGGTCATCAGCAACCGGAGTACTCAGGGACTGTGTGTCTGTGGGAGGCAAAACAGGCCCCTTCGGGGATTCAACCAGCAACCAGAATGGCACGTCGGACGCATCAGACACCGGCAAGGTATTCATT